GGGGGCCAGCCAATCATGAAGGGCTCCCTAGCAACCCTTATTCTCCATATCCTCATTTTAGGGCACCAACGAGGGCCCCTGGTTATGTAACAGGCATATTGTGGCGGTCTCATTGGGCAGACACATAGGCTGTTTCCTTTGTAAGGCTCCCTCTGTGCTCCAAACATGGTAAAGGTTTAACTACCCCTCTCTCCTCTCACTTCCACTCCTATTGTAATTAGATCACAGAAGCAACTTATTTTTAAACCATAGTCATCAGAAAGCTGGGAACAATAAGGCAAAGGCTGGGATATGCAGAAAGGGTGACCCAGAGGGAGGACATTAGAGAAAAGCATAGGAAAAGAAATTTAAGAGTATTTAAATCACAATATACTGCACTTTACAGGCAAGAAGATGAAAGACCAGGACACTTCAGGACCAACCCACTCCTATGTGCAAGCTTACAAATTCTTGCCTAGAAAATTATCCTAAGAGCAAAATATTTGTTCACTTCTTTCCTTGAGGCTAAAATACAATTTATAGGGCACTTCCATAACATTCTCAAAAGGGACTGAAGACATGACTCAGTGGTTAAGAGCACTGGATGCTCTTGCAGAGAACCTAGGTTCAGTTCCCAGGCGCCCATCGTGTCTAACAATGATCCTTAAATCCAGTTCCAGGGGATTTGACGCCCTCTTCTGATCTCTGCAGGTACTGCATGCACATGGTACACTTATATACATACACAGAAAACACTCATACACATAAATTAAAAAAAATATTTAAAAAAGGAACAGACATGTACCTTTCTTCTTTTCAAACATCTGTTTTTTTTTGTTTTTTTTTTTTTTAGGTCTTTTGAGACCAGGTCTTCCTGTAACCCCAATTGGCCTCAATCTCAATATGCAGACTAGGCTGGTCTTAAACTGAGAGATCCACCTGCCTATGTCTCCCAAGTGCTGGAACTAAAAGCGTGTGCCACCATGTCCCCCATGCCTGGCTTCAAACATTTTTTTTTGGTCCTTTTGAGACAGGGTCTCCCTGTAGCCCCAGCTGTCCTGGAACTATGTAGACCAGGCTGGTCTTGAACTCACAGAGATCTGCCTGCCTCTGCCTCTTGAGTGCTGGGATTAAAGGTGTGCACCACCATGCCTGGCTCAAACTTTTTTTTTTTTTTTTTTGGTCTTTTTGAAGCAGGGTCTCCCTGTAAGCCCCAGCTGTCCTGGAACTCACTATGTAGACCAGGCTGGCCTTGAACTCACAGAGATCCACCTGCCTCTGCCTCCCAAGTGCTGGGACTACAGGCGTGCACCACCACGCCCAGCTCAAACATCTTTTTATACTAAAAATGTAGCATGTTTTTTGGCTGGCCTTGAACTTGCTATGTAGCCAAAGATGACCTTGAACTCCTGATCTTCTTGTCTCAGTTTCCCTGTGATTGTATTATGAATGTGAATGTGTGCTACTACAACCAATCTTTCTAAAGACTGAATTTAAATTTTAATGCAGCTTTCTAAGGAGTGAATTTAAACTGCCAACATAAGTGTCTTTCCCAAAGGTTATAAAGATCTTTACCATAATGCTTTTCAAGTCACCCACCTTCTTTTTTTAAAAAAAATTTTATTTATTATTTTTATTAAATGTGTATGAGTGTATTGCCTGCATGTATGTGAGTGCCCCCATGTCGTGCAATTCCGCGGAGGTCAGAAGGGGGCTTTGGATTCCCCTGGAACTGGAGTTAAGGATGGTTCGTAGCCACCATGTGGGTGTTAGGAATTGAACCTGGGTCCTCTGCAAGAGCAGTCAATGCTCTTAACCACTGAGCCATCTCTCAAGTCCCCCCCAAGTCCCCCACTTTCAAACAATGCATTTACGTGTATGAGTGTCTGCCTGTCTATAAGCATACCACATGCGTACCTAGTACCCGAGGAGGCCAGAAGAGGGAGCCAGATTCTCTGACACTGGAGATACAGGCTGTTGTGGGCCACCATGTGGATGCTGAGAACTGAACCCACGTCCTTTGCAAGAACAGCCAATGCTCTTAACTTCTGGGCCATCTCTCCAGCCCCACCAATGCATTTGTTACACAGGTTTCCAAGCCACAAAGTTTCAATTTTCCAAGTTCATAAGGAGCCTAACAGAGGTTAAACCTCAGGTTCTGAATCCATGGGGCCTGAATTTCTTCATTTATTCTTCTAACCATCTCTTCTGTTTGACCAAAGGCATTTAATTATTTGTTTGTTTGAGATAGGGTCTCATGTAGCCCAGGCTGGCCTTAAGCTTCAAAGATAACCTTGATCCTCCTGTCCCAGAGTGCCAGAGTTACAAGTGTGGGCCACTGTGTCCTACTTCATGTGGTGCTGTGGATCAAACCCAGGGGTTCATAAAAACTGAGCAAGCACCTCCTGCCTATAAACTGAGCTACATCCCTACCCTAAGTCTTTTCTCTTTTTAGGCAATGTGAACTGTCTCTCCCCCCAAAAAACCCTTACAATAATCTTAATGTTTTAGTAAGAGAAAAAAAAGGGATGTGGTTCAATTGGTAGAGTGCTTGACTAGCATGCAGGAAGTCCAGGGTTCAATTCCCAGCACTGCATAAAACTAGATGTGTTGGTACACTCCAGCAATCCCAATACTTCCAAGGTAGGGGCAGGAGGTCAGGAAGTTCAATGTCATCCTCAGTTGCATAGCAAGTTCCAAGCAACACCCTATCTTAAAAAAAAAATAAATAAAATAGGAGCTGGAGTGATGGCTCAGTGGTTAAGAGCACTGACTGCTCTTGCAGAGGACCCAGGTTTGATTCCCAGCACCCACATGGAGGCTAAGAACCATCCGTAACTCCAATTCTAGGGGATCCAACATCCTCTTCTGACCTCTGTGGGCACTGCATGACACAGGTGCACTTACATACATGCAGGCAATACACTCAGACACATAAAATAAAAATAATAAAATATTAAAAAAAAAAAACAAACCTGGTCTACATAGTGAGTTCCAGGCCAGCTGTGGCTATAGGTAGACCATCTCAAAAAGACCAAAAAACAAAAAGCACTTCATGCTTTTTCTTTCTTGAGACAGGGTTTCAGGCTGGTCTCAAACTCAAGATCCTCCTGCCTCAGCCTCCCCAGTACTGGACTGCAGGCATAAGCCACCACTCCCAACTGCTATATAATTATTGTTACTTTTTTTTTTGGCCTTTTTGAGACAGGGTCTCCCTGCAGCCCCAGCTGTCCTGGAACTCACTATGTAGACCAGGCTGGCCTTGAACTTGCAGAGATCCACCTGCTTCTGCCTCCCAAGTGCTGGGATTAAAGGTGTGCCCCCCCATGCCCAGGTATTAAAAAAAAAAAAAAATTTAAAATTAAAAATTAGGGGGGCAAAAAAGAGGGTTCAGAGCATCAGGTGCTCTTGCAAAGGACCTGGGTTTGATTCCCAGCACCCACATGGCAGTTAACAATCTCTGTAACTCCAGTTCCAGGGCCTCCAACACCCTCTTCTGACCTCCTTGGGCACTGCATGACATGCACTTACTTACATGGTCTTTTTGAGACAGGGTCTCCCTGCAGCCCCAGCTGGCCTGAAACTCATTCTGTAGGCCAGGCTGGCCTTGAACTTGCAGAGATCCACCTGCCTCTGCCTCCTGGGTGCTAGAACTAAAGATGTACGTCACACCTGGCAAAAATTAAATTTTTAAAAAAAATATTTTATTATTTTTATGTATATACATATATTGCCTGCATGTAGCTAAGTGCACCTGTGTCGTGCAATGCCTATGGAGGACGGAAGAGGCTGTCGGATCCCCTAGGACTGGAGCTATGGTCTACCATTAGCTGCCATGTGGGTGCTGGGATTCAAACCTGGGTCTTCTGCAAGAACAGCAAATGTTCTTAACCAATGAGCCATCTCTCCAGCCCATAATTTAAAAAAAAAAAAAAAAATTTAAATTTAAATGAAAAAAACTCTGGTATGCCAGAATGTCAAAATCTTTTCAATCACTAAAAGGGAAATCTAAGGAGGAACTTTATGCTTGGGAAATTAATAGTGAGGCATTATTAGGACCATTCTATATCTCATAGCCCAGCATTCCAAAACCTTGCAACACAGCTCCTCCACTAAAGCTATGTTATTTTTTTTAATGTGTATGTGTGTACATTTGTGTAAGTGGACACGTATTCACAGAGGCCAAAAGAGGGTGTCAAATCCCCTGGAAATGTAGTTACTGGTGTTTGTGAGCTCCTGACATGGGTTGTGTGTGCTGGGGGAGCAACCTGTGCTCTTAACCACTGACTCATCTCTCCAGCCCCAGCTATGTGTTTTTGCTTATGAGCTGATTCTCCTTGGAACCTGCAATGCTTTCTCATATAGTACTTGTTTCTCTAAGATCCAGTAAGAATTCATCTTTTCTAGAGATGTGCAAGTGGTAGCAAACATGTAATTCCAGCCCTTGGGAGGTGGAGTCAAGAGGGTCAGGAATACAAGCCAACTCTAAGCCAGTCTGAGCTACATGAGACATGAACAAAACAAAACAACAAAGGAATAAATCTTTTCTAGTAGCCTTGTTCCACAGCAGTCTCTCCCTTAGCTATTCTCCATGTAGTATGGCTCTACTTCTTGTTCTTGATTTCCCCTTCAAGCTTTTTGGTGGGTGGGGGGCACTGAGGCACGGTCTAGTCTATGTAGCCTAAACTGGTCTCAAACTCTTCCTGCCTCCAGCTCCCAAATCCTGGGGTCACATATGTGTACAAGCAGACATGGGGGCCCTATGGGGCTCTTTTCAAAGTCTTAGATAGAATTCAGGCTAGTCATCCAGAGGATGATGACTGCTTGTTAAATAAGCTTCATAAAGTTAGGTTTGGGGGAACTTCATTTTTACAATAATAAATTGAAGGGCTAAAAAATTTCAAGATCTAAAATAAACGGTGGGCTGGCATTGGTCTGAGAAGCTTATGACAGGTAGGGTGAGAGGACAATAACCTCGCATTTCCCAAAGGTTGGTCTAAGTAGACTCTGATTCTTTTTACCTGTTCAGGGTTCTGTATGCACCTTCCACATTCCCTTCCTGAACCATCACAGTCCTGGCAATGAACTTCAGATGCTTTGCCATAACCTCGTATTTAAAATCTTCACTCTTCTAGACCTACAAGGGGCAAGGAAACCAGAGAACCAGGTAAGAGACTGTAACACAACAGAATACACGGGTTAGGGCAGATTTATTCAATATCTAGAAATGGAACCTGCTCAGTAAAATAAGAAACCGTGCACGAGGGTGTCTCCGTATCGTAGAAAGTACACACGCATCCTTATCAAAATTCCCCTCATCGGGTGGCGAGAGGGCTCAGTGTGGGGAAAGACGCTCGCCGTCAAGCCTAACGACGTGAGTTCGATCCTCGGCCTCACCATAGTTGGGCCCTCACAGGTTCTTGCAAGCTCTCCTTTGACCTTCACGCGCCCCATCCAACATACAAAATAAACGTAATTTTTAAACTAACAAAGAAGCCTTGGGCTGCTAGTTGGAAAGGAGTTTCTGCCTGTCTCTAGGGACCCGGCGACCGCGCGAAAACCCGTCCTCCCGCCCAGCCCGCTTCGTGTCCCAGAGCTCAGTCCCGGGACCCCGTGACAGACCCTCACCGGCGCCCTACGAACTTCGCGGACTCCAGGCCCGCTCGACCGGAAGCGGAAATACGGGATCCGCCCCGGCGCGCGGAGGCGGGCCTGATGGGGAAGACGCCTGCTGGGAACCTTCGCTGCGTTCTTTTTGGCTTCTTGGGTTCGGATAGCTGTGGGCCCCAGCTGTTGCATCTGGCAACGCAAAATACACATTGACCCCGATTCCAGCAAAATAGTTTCCTCGTCTTCCTATGGAATCGCAGTCATTCGGTCTCTGAGGTCAGACCGATTGCCCATAGTGCTAATCCTGTTTAAACCCTTAGTATTTAAATGTGTTCTTTTTCTGGATGGAAAATTGGAAATGTCATGAGCATGTTTCCTGCTTTTTATTTGAAAAGGACATAGGTCTCCTCTCTGGGTGAAAAACAGCTTCACACCCACATCTGCCTAAAAAATTAAGAAAAAGAAATGAACATTCTGTTTCCTGTAATGTCACCCATCCAGCCATTTCGCTAAAGTGAAAATACTAAAGAAAGAAACGAGAAAGCCTGCAGGATTTAGAATCCCAGATTTTTATGACAACCTAGTAGGATCTGGTAGGAATTCTCTTTTTTTAAAATTATTTTAATTTGATCATTTTATTTTTGAGGCAGAGTCTCACTATATAAACCAGGCTGGCTTTGAACAGAGATCCACCTGTCTCAGCCTCCTGGGTGCTGGGATTAAAGGTGTGGACCTGGCCCAAAATATCTCATTTTTTTATTGCTTCTACATTGTCCAGACAACCTTTAATGTACATTTCCATGGTATTATTCACATCGGTTCAAGACTTATGACTACTGGAAAACAGACCTCTCCTAGAACACACACAGATGCATCCTCATCAATTATGTTGGCAGGTACACAAAACTTAAGCCTGCCTCACAGTAAGCCAGGTCCAAAGTACGGAAGTGGAGCTAGACCCAGGCATCATTGTGCTTATCTGTGAACTTTTATTGAATGTGTATCCTATGCCATGTACTGTTGATACTAGTCCAGTGCCACTAAAAGAGAGTGTGTGGAGATAAGAGATAGACCAGGTAGCATACGAGTGCAAAATAAACCATGTGGAAAACAGCATATATGACCTTGAACAAGTTACTTAAACCAGGAGTCTGCAGGTCAACCCAGCTCCATCTGTTTTTGTAAATAAAAGTATTGGAATGTCATCTTGTTTATTTGTTTATTATGTATGGCTGTTTTGGGCAACAATGGTAGAGTTGGGTAGAGAAAATGGATTCCCATTGGAATCTATGGGCTACAACCTCCACTCTCCAATATTTACTATCTGGCTCTTGCCAGGCTTAAATGCAATCTATTTCCTCATCTAACTCAATGTTTCCCTGTTGATCTCACAAAATTTGTCATGAAAATCAAATAGGTTAAAATATAAAGATATTTTGAAAGAAAGGAATAGGAAAGTAAAAATTTTTAAATCCATTTTTAAAATTTATGTGTATGAGTACATGCCTGTGTGAGTTTATTTGCACCACATGTGTGCAGGTGTCTGTGGAGACCAAAAGAGAGCATCAGATCCCCTGGAGCTGGAGTTATAGGTGGCTGTAAGCCATCTGACATAGGTGCTGAGAACTGAACACAGGTCCTCTGCAAGAGCAGTTAGTGCTCTTAACCACCTCTGGAAAGTAAAATTTTTGAAATCCCATTATATACTAAACCCTATATTGGGTATTTTATGTGTATGACTTTATTTGATTGTATGAAAGCCCCAAACCTAACCTAAATAGCATGTTTAACAGAAATCGTGAGAGTTGGAGGGACTTGAGTTAGTCATTGAATGAAGGATAGAGTTTAGCTAACAAACAGAAAAGGTACTGCAAAGGAAACAGCATGAACAAGATTTGTGAGGCAAAGAGGTTTACAATATTTGGGAATGGATTTTAAAACTGGAGTAGGCTGAACATGATGACACATGCCTTTAATCCTAGCACTCAGGACTAGAGGCAGGCAAATCTCTATGAGTTCAAGATTAGCCTGGTCTACATAGCAAGATCCAGGACAGCCAAAGCTATATAGTGAGACCCTGTCTCAAACAAAACAAAACTGGAGTAGAAGGGTCATGCAAGGAAGCAGAAGGAGCTATAGAGACCTAAAGTCTTCAGACACTTTTCTCAGAGCATTGGGGAATCCACTGATGATTTTGAATAGGGAATAACATGCAGAAAAAAAAAGCATTGTTCTAAGAAAAGTAATCCAGTTATCAGTAAAAAAAGGATTCATGGTAAAAGAGACTTCTGTAGCAAAAGTCTAGACCAGAGTGGTAGCAATGGAATGGATACGAAGAGGTAGATTTTAAGAGATACTCCAAATGAGATGGCTCAGAGGTTAAGAGCACTGGCTGCTCTTAGCTGAGCATGTCTTTAATCCCAGCACTCGGGAGACAGAGGCAGATGATTCTCTGTGAGTTCAAAGCCAGCCTGGTCTACATAGTGAGTTCCAGGCCAGCTGGGGCTACAGGGAGACCCCGTCTCAAAAAAAACAAAAAAAAGGAGAGCACTGGCTGCTCTTGCAGAGGACCTGGGTTCGATTCCCAGCACCCACATGGTGGCTAACAACCATCCATAATTCAAGTTCCAGGGGATCTGACAACCTTTTCTGACCTCCGAAGGCATTGCACGACACAAGTGCATTTACATACGTTCAGGCAATATATTTGTACACTTAAATTTTTTTTTTTGGTCTTTTTGAGACAGGGTCTCCCTGTAGCCCCAGCTAGCCTGGAACTCAGGCGGGTATTGAACTTGCAGAGATCCACCTGCCTCTGCTTCCCAAGTGCTGGGATTAAAGGCATATGCCACCATGCCTGGTGTACACATAAAATTTTTTAAAAGAATTAAAAAAAAATTTTTTTAAAAGAGATACTCTGTGCTGGGCATGGTGGCCCATGCTTTTAATTCCAGCATTCAGGAGGCGGAGGCAGGTGGATCTCTGTGAGTTCAAGGCCAGCCTGGTCTACATAGTGAGCTCCAGGACAGCTGGGGCTACAGGGAGACCCTGTCTCAAAAAGACCAAAAAAAGAGAGAGAGCTACTCCAAATAAAGAACAAGCAAACTTGGTGATTAGCAGCCCCAAGTTTTAAAAGCCTACTTCTGTAGAAAAATGTTGACACCATAGATAACGCTAACAGAGGGGAGACTGAAAAGGGGGAACAGGACATATTTAAAGTAAAGAGTAATGTTGGCTGACTGTGAAGCTCACACCTATAATTTCAGCACTCAAGAAGCCTAGGCAAGAGGAACAGTAGTCAAGGACAGCTTAAGCTATATCTATCTACACGAGACCCTGTCCCAAAAACCCATTGTCATGTTTTTGGTAATCCCTGGAAAAAGAGTATTAGACTGAAAACCCAGAGTTCTGTGCCATACCTTATATTGGTTCGGACAAGTTATGTAAGTTTCCTCATCTATAAATGAAGAGGTTGGGTTGAATTAGATACAGAAAGGGGTGTATTTTACCTCTAAAATGCCGACTTTTCTTTTAAAGATATATTTGTACATGTATTTGCATGCGTGCGCACAAAAACTCACAAGTGTATGCACAAGTATATTCTCAGGAACTCATGCTTATGCATGCACAGAGTCCAGAAGAGGGCATCAGATCCCTCAGAGTTAAGAATTATAGATGTTTGTGGGACACCTGGGCTATGCTTACTAAATGAGTGTTATGATCCAAACTCTAGTCACTACAATTGCTTTTTTTCTCTTTTAATATTTTAATTATTTTATGTGTATGAGTGTTTTGCCTCCATGTATTTAAGTGTACCAAGTGTGTGCCTGCTGCCTGCTGGAGCCAGAACAGGGTGCTGGATCCTGTGAAACTGGAGTTAAGGACAGGTGTTAGCCTAAGGATAGGTGTTATCCATTATGTGAGTACTGGGAACTGAACTCAGGACCTCTGGAAGAGCAGTAAGTGCTCTTAACCACAGAATCATCTCTTCAGTCTCCAAAGCATGCACTCTGCTATTGAGCCATCTCTCTAGTGCCCCACACTTTTTTTTTTTTTTTTTGAGACAGGGTCTCATGTATCCCGGACTGGTTTGAAACAAGATATTTAGCTGAGGATGACCTTGAACTTCTGATCCTCCTACTTCACCTTCCAAGTGCTGAGATTATACACATGTGCCACCATACCCAGTTTTATGGGGTGCTGAGAATAGTATCCAGGGTTTCGTGCATGCTAGGCCAGTACTCTACCAATTATGCTATATCCCCAGCCCTAAAATGTGAAAAATTTCAATAATTTTTTGAACAATTTGTGTGTATGTGCATGTGCATGCCATGATTCATGTGTGGAGGTCAGAGTACAACTTAAAGGAATTGGTTCTCTCCTTCCATCATGTGGGACCTGGGGATCCAACTCGGGTTTTTGGGCTTGGGTACAAATGCCTTTACCTGCTGAGCCATCTCTCTGGTCCTTTCAAAACTCCCAAGCAGACATTTAGATATTTGGTGTGCCTTCTCAGGGGTAGTTTAGAATAGGAAAGATTTAACATTTATCTAATTTGAGGAAATAATTAAAGCAACAAAAGAAAATGAAAACCTGCTAATGATTGAATGTATAGAGAAAGAAGCCAAGGCCGGAGCCTAGTGAACACCTGCACTCTGGAGTAGGTGGAAGTGGGGTCATTAAGAGACCTAGGAAGTGTTGCCAGTTAGGTAAGAGGAGAATCAGAAGAGTGGGCTATCATGGGATCTAAGGGAGGATAGTTTCAGAAGGCAGTATCAAGTGTCAAATGATACAGTACACAGCCTTTGTAAAGGCTTCTAGGTTTAATTATTGATTAGGTGGTAGGTAAGTTAGTATTATAATGCTAATTTTGTGGACTTAACTGTCATTTTGGAAGGTGCAACAAAGTGAAAGCAGTGTGAGGTAGGCTGCAAGGAGTTAAACATACAGTTTTTGAGGTCTCAGACTACTCTGTTGAGAATTATGAAGCGTGCTGGAGGTACAGCTCTGTGGTGGAGCACTTATCTAGAATGCATGGGGCCCAGGGTTCCATCCCCAGCCCCTAGTGTAGGTAGGGCAGAGGGGAAAAGGGCAATGAAGAGAAAGAGGGTATTTAGGGTCAAACAATGTTTTCACTAAGGCAATACCTGATGACACAGGGGAAATTATTATGAGAAACAAAGGTGCAAAAGTTTCTCAAGAAAAAGGCAATCAAATCCTGTCTCAAGAAAGACCAAAAAAAAAAAAAAAAAGGCAATAAAAAGGCCTAGTGTGGTGGTGCACACGTTTAATCCCAGCACTCAGGAGGCAGAGGTAAGTATATCTCTGAAATATAGGCTACCTTGGTCTAGATAGCGAGTTCCAGGCTAGCTGGGGCTACAAGGGAAGACCCTGTCTCAAAAACACAAACAAAACAAACCAAAAAAGCAATCAAAAGCATAAATGGAGCCAGGAGTGGTGGTTCACAACTGTAATCTCAATACTTGTAGGCTAAGGTATCAGGATCACATTGAGTTCTAGGCCAGCCTGAACCACAATGACCCTGTCACAAACCACAGAGAGGTTTCCCTTAGAAGAGGTCCTATTTTCGGAAATAAATGGAGGCAATTTATTCACTGAGAATACAGGGCTTGAGAAATGGGAGAAAGATGTCTGACTAGTGAGACGCATTCTGAGGAGCTAATAAGCTATGACTAAGAAGACAGAATTGTCTGATGCACTGGAAAGCTTAGGATGAGAGAGGAAATGGTTCAGAAACTGGGACAAATCAGAAAGTAATACATGGAGAAGGGTAGAGATAGAGGCACATTCATGGACTTCAGTTGATACTTGAGTAGCTCAAAGACAGCTAGACCAAAGAGGTCTAGCACACATTTAACAGCTGCTGTTTTTCAAGTAGGTATGTGGCCCAGAGTGTGAGTCCCTTCACCCTGACCTTGACAGTTCTAGGGCACCCCACCCTCTTTAAAACTGGCATCCCAGTGGCTGTTTCGGCTGTGTCCCTCCTCTGGAGGCTGCAAAAAGTTACATATGCACGCACACACACACACATCAACAGTTCCATCAAAGCAAAGAGCTATGCCAGAGCAGAAGAACCTGCTTATCTGGGCTAGCTGGAACATTACGCAGGCAGAGACTCAAAGGGAAAAGGTACTAGTCTCTGAGGCTGAACAAAAAAATAAACTCAACTTGAACCCTGTGACTGTCCCAAGGGTGTTCCTCAGGAAACAGTGGCCATAGTCACTTCTCTCACAGGTTTTATGTTGTTATCCAGACACTAACTTGTTGGAACTCATATTCACAAACATTTCTATCCCAGCTTACTGGGTCAGATTTACCTGGTATTCAAGGCACAAAGTTTTCAGGTTACCACAATCAGCAGAGTTTGGGTAAAAAAATGTCTTTAATCAGAAAGGAGTTATCTTTTCCTCAACACAAATACATTAAAAGTAAAAAAAATATATGTATACATATATTTACATAATTGGAAATCTCAGAGGACAGTTGCACAGCCTGGGTTAGGGGTTGAGGAGATGAGCATCAGGAGCAATAGGAGAATGGGTGCTTGTCTGTGGCTCTAGGTGTGCTATAGTCACCTCTCTGACCATGGTGGGTAGACCAGTGTGGGGAAGGGTGCAGCTCCATTCCGATGGCAGCGTTACCGGCAAACTATGGCAACGTGGCCCCTCTCCAGGTAGTTTCTTGGGATCACCAGGGATGACAGGAGACGAAGCAGTAGGCGGGATTGGAGTGCCTGGGGCAGAGTGGGTGGAGGACTGTACTCCATTTTGGAGGAGAAGGATGACACCAATGCTGGCTCCAGGACCTAAGGGACCATGGCTAAAGGAGATGGTACCTGGGGAACTGAGAGGGGGATTGCAAATTGGAGAGGTGTGAATCCAGGTGAGGTTCATAGCTGGCCATTCTGTGAGGTGCCAGGGCTGCTTTGGTTTCAAAACCAAATGTCTTGGCTGGGTCTGGCCCATCTTTTCAATAAGAGGTCCAGGAGAGGAAGCAGCTGAATCACTGTGGTGGCTTGCAAAGTGCTAGTGAGGGGGAAAATGGAGAAAAACAACTGTTAAGAAAGCTTACAGATTAGCTCCGCTTAGCTCCTAGACCTTTGCTTTCCTTGGGAACTCACTGCAGTACAAACACACCTTGTTTTGTGCAACAGATATGTTCTTCCCAGGTCATGAGTAAGAATTTTAGTAATCAAATAATACTTCCATTTATTCAACAAGTGGTTGAGGGGCTATATGTGCCACCACATAACCTCTTAGGCATTGGCTATTTAGAAATGAACAAAATAAAACAATCATTTGTTCTATTTATAAACTATTTTCTTTAGAAAGAAGCCTAATTTTTTGTGCTGTTGGGGAACTGAACCCCAGCCCATTGCATGCTAGGTAGGCATTATAGTAAACTACATCCCCTGCCAGAAAAGATTAATAGAAGTTATTTTGCAATCTCTGTATTCTAAATTCTAATTTTCCATGTTGAATTCTTTATAGGTTATGATCTAGCTACTTATTTTCCAGTCAATTATTTCCACATCATTAAAAATTTTAGTTGATTGAAAACAGGGAGAGATAATTATTTACAGGACAGTCTCCTTCCCCGTTACTTGAATGCCATCTAAATATCCTGCTATTTGAAGGCACAGAAAATGAACACTTCCTAACATTCCACCCTCTAGATGTCCCCAAGGCTGCTCTCTCCCACTCCCAATGATGCACCTCTTAGACAGGGTCTCCTCACTGTATAGCCCCAAGCTAGTCTGGAACTGGCCTCCAACTCACAGAGATCCAATTGCCTCTGCCTCTGCCCCTCAAGTGTTGGGATTAAAGGCATACTCTACCATGCCTGGCTATGATGCACCTTTTATGACAGTCTTTGAAATCCAGTGATGACACAGAAGGTCTAGTCAAGGATACTTGGACAGGGAATAAAAAGATGGAGAGTGGAAGGATTTGGGGGGACCGAGGAGGAAAAGATTTGCAGAGCAAAGCTGGGGCATCTTACTGAATGACTCACATGACCAGATAAAAAGCCTTTTGTGTCTATGCAGAAAGCAGATAAGCTCCAACATGAGGGATAGGGTTAACCTTCATTAAGTTCTCCCCAGGGATCCCAACAAAACAGAACAACTATCTAGGCTGAAAAGATGAAGAAGAAGAAAAGTAGAAATCATAGTAATGCAGAAAGTTTAGGCATTCCCTTCCATGAAAAGAAATTTGTAGAAAATGGAAGGGGGGGCACATTTCTGCATTCACATTTCATTTCCCTGATTCTTCTCCCACCTCTTTCTTGGGTCTTTAAGTTCTTACCTTAGTGAACCGATGCTTGCTACCTCCCAATGATGACTTCTGGGCAGCTATATGAGGAAACCAAGTCTTTAACATCCCTTCCACTTGCAGCAGGGTTCCCAGATAACGCTCTCTGGGAAAAGAGTTTAAAAACCATTAAATGTGAAAAAAGAAATGAATAAAATTGTACAGCATCCCCACCCCCACACCTCATGTAGCCCTGGCTGGCTTGGAACTCAATATGTAGGCTAGTCTCCATCTCTCAGAAATCCACCTGCCTCTGCCTCCTATATAATGGGATTAAAGGTGTACAATCCCACATTCCGACTAATAGGTCTCCTTTTATAAGATAGTGAGGAAAGAAAGAAATTAAATAGGGGGACTTACCCCATCTCAGGCTTCTGTAAAACACCCACAATACGCTGGATCCTGTCCATTGCTACACTCTGCTGGAAACTGCTCAATCCTAGCATGAGAGATAAAGTGATTAAAGGGTTGGATGTAGCTAAGTGGCAGAGAGCTTGTCTAGCATGCACAAGGTTTAACCCCCAGCATAAGAAAGGAAGCAAGGAAAGCAGGGGATGGGGATTTAGATTCAAGTCAGGTAAAAGGAAGACAGAAGATGGGCAAGGGTTAAAACAGATTCACTTAAGCCAGGCGTGGTGGCGCACGCCTTTAATCCCACCACTTAGGAGGCAGAGGCAGGCGGATCTTTGTAAGTTCAAGGCCAGCCTGGTCTACATAGTGAGTTCCAGGACAGCTGGGGCTACAGGGAGACCCTGTCTCAAAAAGACCAAAAAAAAAAAAAAAAAAAAAAAAAAAAAAAAAAAAAAAAAAAAAGAGGAGAGCCATTGCAGTGCATTGAGCTCCACCTTGGTCTACATAGACAAAAAAAAAAAAATAAAAAAATAAAAAAAAATAAAAATAGATTCACTTGAAGAAATTAAGTTACAAAGGCAAAAAAGGAATAGCTAAGGCCCAAACAAAGATTTAAGTGACATATATATTTGACAGAGAAAGAGAAAGAAAAAAAGTAAATAATTACCTCTCTCAAAGCGACCCATCTTGAGTCCATTCAGCAGGTCTGTGAGAGGACGAATGAATCCTTGGAGTTCTTTACACTGTAGGAAAACAGCACAAAGGCTATGAGAAGACCAGTAGTGGTTTTTCCTCTGTCTTCTATCTAGCAGCCAATATCAATCATCATCCTCTTAAGAGTCCCTGTTAACCAGTTAGGTGCTTAGCATTGCAGTAGTCTCTTCTTCTTTTCTCTTACCTTTTGCGCAAAGAGCAGGTCTCCCTCTGTGGTGCCACCCTGGATATTTACACTGGGTTCCAGTTCACCATCTCTTGATCTTTTGACCCCAGATCCTGCCATAGAAGAAGTCAAGCTTCGCTGTTCCAGATGAGATGCTGTATGTTGATTACTGGAAACCTTGGTTCGATGTCTGCAGCGGATAGGACCGGGGATGGACTGGGAACCTCCCCTTTGCCCAAGAGTTTCTGGCCTACGCTCATGGGTGCCCTTGCTCTCCCTCTCACTATCAGAGAGAAAGCCAAAGTCACTGTTCACTGGGGACGTGGAAAAAGAGGGAGAGCGAGAGTGGGGGGAGAAAGAAGAAACGCTAGATGGAGAATCCATAGGTCCAGTAGCAGGGGCTGGAGAGCAGCTCCTGTAGTACCCAAAGATCAGGACCTGCAACTGAACAGCAAAGCGAGGGAGTTTGAAACTGGAGTCTAAGGATTAGGAAATGGACTGGGAGACTGGGGAGTTCTCGGGGTAACCCCCTTTTTTTTCTGTCCTCAACAGAGAGGAGGAAAAAAAGTGATTTTCCATCCTCACCGAAAAACCGAACAGTCTGGCCCCTGCTGAACAGCTCTTGGCACCACACAGCCGCTATTCTTTCTTCTGGTTCACAGGGGACACCTGACTTTACACCTACCCCCGCCTGCTATTCTCTTGGGCTGTTCCCTAGCCAGATCTCACAGCATATCGACCTAAAAAGGCCCCCAGCTAGGGACAGATCTGCGCACCAGAATCCACCTAGTGTCCCTACCGAAACCGCCCCCACAGACACGGGTCTCCTTCGCTTTCCCTATCTCTTACACTCAAGATCCCTGCGCTGGTATCTCTACGGTTGTGCGTGACAGGTGATGCAATCCCTCCCAGCACTAGGATATGCGCGCTATCCCCCGAACCCCTCCGTTCCTTCCGGGGTCAATCCGCGGGAGCGGCTAGCTCTTGGTTTCCTTACCTGTGTCGATCGGCTTAGCTTAGGCTTGGTCTCCCGCGCCTTCACAATCTGTCCAGGTCTGGGCTACCCACCTCTGCTTCACTCTCTGTGGGTCCCGCCCCTTCCCCCCCTCCCAGACACGTGCGACTCTGCACGTGCCTGCCCCTGCGTATACAGATCTCGCACCTTCATTGGTTAGTTTGCCGGTAACACGTGACTCTCGAGACAGACATTCATAGCCCATTTGCTACAGCACTCGTGGGCTCGGCCAATAGAGAAACAGCCAGTGGTGATTGGCTGGAAGGGAAGAATTCCGTGCCCTCCCTACATGCGGCTCTCCAAGAGAACCCGGTGATGAAAAAGAGAAGTGAAAAAAAAGAGTGAAAATGAAGGAAGGGGAGGAAAAGGGTGGAGCTTGTATCCTTAAATAGGATGATGATGCTTGGGAGACACGAGGGCTCGTGTGTGCAGAGAAAGGCTGTGCGAACGGAGGCGACCGTCAGGTGGCACCTCCGCTTTCTCTCTGAGCCAACCCGGCTGCCCCTTCTTTGAGTGCCTCGGCTCACGAGCGAGGCACGTGGAAGCCATCAGAGACTGGTGTCTGCAACGTGTGTGAGAGAATGGACGTGTGACACTGTGTACCCGCTCCCTGTGTCGGCGGCTCGGCCCTCGTGACTCCCGTTTCATCCTTCCCTCCTCTCCTCCAAGTTGGGTGCCTCCTGCCCTGCTGGGTGAGGAGGGTGGGGATTGCGGCCGGGAACACCGGGAACACCGCGTCCTCTCCCCGGCTTCCGCTGGGGAGGCTTCTCCAGCCCTTTCTTACGTAACCTGCCACGCACGTTACCAGCTCAGATGCCAGCCCGCCAAGATTCTAGAGGTCAAAGCCGAACTCGCGTTCCCGACTTTTCTGCCCAGGCTTGGTGGACCTTGCACCCAGAATTCTCGGATACTGAGCACAGAAAACGGAGTAGGGTAGAACCCTGATCCCCAAGGTTAAGGCATTACCCAGCTTCAGTACGTTTGTTCCCTGGAGAAGATTGGAAAAATTTTGAAGGAGGAAAAGAAGCAAGTTCGGAGTTTAGAGAGTCTTTAGAGACTAAGAAGTTAAGAGTTTAGGGAGACGTTAACATCTCTGTGCCAGGTCATGTTTAAAGAAAACAACGGAGAGACAGGGAGCCGAAAGCTGAAGGTAGAACAGCTGACCTCAAGGGGGCACTCTAGTTCTGATAAGGGTCTGAGGACAGGGACTTTTTAAAATATGCCCCTGTGATATAACTACTAAATGGAAAAGTTGGATAGGAGGGTCGGGAGAAAGTGTGCTTATTTAAATTTTTTCTAATATTTAGTATTTTACGTATGTTGAGTATTGTACTTATTTTATAAAAAGAAAAAGGATTTCTCAGCCTGGCGTGGTGGTGCACGCCTTTAATCCCAGCACTCGGAGGCAGAGGTAGACGGATCTCTGTGAGTTCAATGCCAGCCTGGTCTACATAGTGAGTACCAGGACAGCTGGGGCTACAGGGAGACCCTGTCTCAAAAAAGACAAAAAAAAAAAAAAAAAAAAAAAAAAGAAAAAGAAAAGAAAAAGGATTTCGCAAACTTCAACAGTTTCCCCAAACACAATGTTTCAAGACAATACTAAGTAAAATGCAAAGGACTTGAGGCTGGAGAGATGGCTCAGCAGTTAAGAACACTGAACCGCATAACACTTAACACTTTTGTTCTTGCAGAAGACCCGGGTTCGAATCCTAGCACCTACGTAGCAGCTAACAGCTGTCCAGCTGTCCGTAACGCCAGTTCCAGGGGATCCAACAGCTTCTTCTGTCCTCCGCAGGCATTGCATGACATGGGTGCACTTACCTACATGCAGGCAATACACACATATACATAAAATAAAATAAAAATTATATATATATAGAGGACTCATCCTATTGCAGAGGTACTTGTACAACCATGTTTGTTGCTGCTCTTTTCACAATAGCTAAAAGACGGAAGCAACCTAAGTGCCCCTCATCTGATTAGTGGTTAAAGAAAATGTGATACATTTACACAATGGAGTTCTACCCAGCTGTAAAGAAAGATGAAATAATGAAATTTGCAGATAAACGGATGGATCTAGAAACTGTTATACTAAGAGAAGTAACACAGACTCAGAAAAACAAAAGACTTATGTTCACCCTCATTTGTGGATCCTAGCACCAAATCCTTATGAGTATATGTATCCTGATGTAACTGAAGGAACCAGGAAAATGGAAGGGAACCAGGGAAGTAAAGGGAAAGAAGGGACCCATGAAAGAAGAATAGTAGAAGACAAGTGTCACTAAGGAAGAATTATGTAAAAAGGGGGTAGTTAAAGGAGAGAGGGAGAAGGAGGACTATACAAAGAACTATGGGAATAAAGGAAAAGAAGGAGCTCAAAAGAGGTGGGGCCATAGCATACAAAAATTATCAAGGGAGAAATAGGGAAAGGGAAACACTTCAAATGGGAAGGGTGGGGAGGGAGGATAAGGCAGGAAGAGAAAGAAGAGAGATAAAACTAGTGCCTAGCTAGTATTTAAAAAAAAAAAAAAGCCAGGTGTGGTGGTGCACACCTGTAGTCCCAGCACTTGGGAGGCAGAGGCTGGCAGAGCTCTGTGAGTTCAAGGCCAGCCTGGTCTACATAGTGAGTTCCAGGCCAGCTGGGGCTGCAGGGAGACCCTGTCTCAAAAAGACCAAAAAAAAAAGAGGAGAGCCATTGCAGTGCATTGAGCTCCATAGAGACAGTGCCGGAGCAAGTGAGAGCCGGACAGGCACTGGGCGACTCTGTGCCTCACTGAAGAAAGCAACTAAACATGGGCAAAGTTCCTAAGAAGCTGAGAGGCAAAAGTCATCATATGCATTCTTTGTGCAAACTTGCCGGGAGGAGAACAAGAAGAAGCACTCTGATGCTTCTGTCAACTTCTGAGAATTCTCCAAGAAGAGCTCAGAGAGGTGGAGGTGGGAGACTATGTCTGCTAAAGAAAAAGAGAAGTTTGAAGACATGGCAAAGGCTGACAAGGCTCATTATGAGAGAGACATGAAAACCTATATCCCTCCTAAAGGGGAAACAAAAAAGAAGTTCAAAGATCCCAACACACCCAAGAGGCCTCCTTTGGCTTTCTTCTTGTTCTGTTCTGAGTATCACCCCAAAATCAAAGGTGAGCATCCTGGCTTATTTATTGGTGATGTTGCAAAGAAACTGGGAGAGATGCGGAACAACACTGCTGCAGGTGACAAGCAGCCTTACGTTCGAGAAGAAGGCAGCCAAGCCGAAGGAGAAATATGAAAAGGATATTGCTGCCTAAACCTGATGCTGCAAAGAAGGGGGTTGTCAAGGCTGAAAAGAGCCAGAAAAAGAAGAGGAGGAAGATAAAGAAGATGAAGAGGAAGAAGAAGAAGATGATGAATAGTTTGTTCTAGTGAAGTTTTTTTTTTCTTGTCTATAAAGCATTTAAGCCCCCTGTACACAACTCACTCCTTTTAAAGAAAAAAAAATGAAATGTAAGGCTGTGTAAGATTTGTTTTTAAACTGTGTCTTTTTTGTATAGTTAACACTCTACCAAATGTGTCTTCAGATAGCCCTGTCCTGGTGGTATTTTCAACAGCCACTAACCTTGCCTGGTACAGTGTGGGGGTTGTAAACCGGCATGGAACTTTAAAGCAGGTTCTTGGTGCACAGCACAGATTAGTTATATGTGGGGACGGTAGTTTTTTCATCTTCAGTTGCCTCTGATGCAGCTTGTACGAAAATAATTGTTATGTTAACTGAATACCACTCTGTAATTGCAAAAAGAAAAAAATTGCAGCTGTTTTGTTGACATTCTGAACACTTCTAAGTGAATACAATTTTTGTATTAAAAAAAGAGGAAATCATATTAGTCCAAAAACCTACTTAAAAATTACACATACAATATCCCTACCTGAGTCCATGAGTATAGCTGAACTACATAACAACAAACAATGCCTAATAGGAGAAACCTTCCTTTGAGTTGTTGGCTAGGGTAGTCCAAGAGACTCACAAAATTACACAGGCTATTGCCACAGTCCTTGATTGCCTCATAGAACTTAATGGTAAGACCCTATTGTTGAAGATAAGACATACTTTGGACACAGGATTTGGAGCAATGGAGCTGGAACTGACCTAGAAACCACCTCCCCTGAAGACTAGCTCTCACAGTTTTGGAGAGCACTACAAGCTGGTAAGGGAGAACATCAAACGATGATCCAACCCTAGCTTCAAGGCCTAAAAACCACACCAATGACCAGCACAGCAAACAACATTGGTGCAGTAGTGGCACTTTTATCTTGGGGTAATCAACTGCTACTTAATTGTACTTAAAGCCCACTCAATGGGAAAAAAACTCATGCCTGGTACTTTAAACCTAGCCAAATACACATAGCTCGAGAAGTTATAGATCTTAGAGAAAACCCAAGGTTCTCATATCCCTAGACAAATGTAATTTCTTACTATGAGCAAAATATGGATCCTTAAATTTACAGACAAGTATCCCAGTCACCACATCAAAGTAGCTTCTGGTCACACACAGAGATTCTCTGTGAATTGCCCAAGCCTAAGTGACACATCTAGGATGCAACCTCTGCACCTAAGACTCAGGGAACATAGAACAAGGGATGAAGAGAACACTAATATATCTTTCAATTCTCATCAATGAAGCTCCCTCATGCAACAGAGGACCAGGAATGCAGAAGGCCACAAATGGCCAAAATGCAGAGAATAAGAGTCTGCAGAGTATGGGTCCTTGGACAGGTCTCCTATATTGAGGTCCACCCACCCAGGGTTCAGGGACCATTGCTGAAGTGCGGGTGGAAAGAGTTTAAGAGCCAGGGAGGAGGCACATGACTATATGGAAATGGCCCTTCAGGAGCCTGGGACCCTTCTTATACAAACCTACGGCAATGGTGTCAGTATGCACAAGACCCATGCAAACTGAGACAGACCAAAACCCAGCACAGAACTGTGGAAATGAACAGCAAGCCCCAATCTTAGTCAAAGAATTATTGGTAGCTGATTACTGCTGAGGGAGGAAGAGCTGATCTTCTTATAGGGAGAGGCTCTAGAGAGGCTGACTAGATCCCGGTGGATGAACTTGTACTGAGGGATATCTCAGGACACTAACTTTACAAATACAAATAACAGAATGTATTAACTCCGGGGGGGGGTATGGGAGGGTGCCAAAGAGGAAGGGTGAATAAAGATGATTTTCTGTATGAAATATATGAAAATTCAATTACAAAAGTAAAATATAATTAAGCTGGGTACTACACACTTGTAGTACTAGCACTTGTGGGTGGTAGCAGGAAAATCAGTTCAAGGCTCGCCTGTGCTATGAGAGGCCCACAAAAAAATCCAGAAACAATAACAACAAATAATTAGAATTATATGTTTGAAAGAAACCTGTTATCTGCGAGTATTCTCTATTCTAACTCAAATTCCGGATCTATTCACAGGCCATAATTCTCTCTAACTATCATCTCATTCTCTTTCTAACCTGCCCTTCCTGCCACCCAAATCCTTTAGTGCTGACTTCAGAGCAATCCCTCAGTAAAAAGTAGATAGGGTGGCACATGCCTCCTGCACTCCAGAGGCAGAGGAAGAGGCAGGGGGATCTCTGTGAGTTCAAGTCCATCCAGTTGCAGGACAGCCAGGGCTACGTAGTGAAACCCTGTTTCAGGAAAAGAAAATAAAAGAACTAAATTATTTAATTTGTTTTTTATTTTATCTTCCAACTTCCTCTTGTCAAACTCTCATCCAGTCATAGTAGCTTTCATCTAAAAGAGAGAAGAAAAGGAGGAATAAAAAATGGAATCTGGCCAGGTGTGGTGGCCCATGCCTTTAATCCCAGCACTAGGAAGGCAGAGGCAGGCAGACCTCCAGGAGTTCAAGGTTAGTCTGATTTACATAGCAGGAGGCCTTAGCATTTCATGCTTTTTCATGCTTTGATCTCTATTCGAGCTCCACAGATTCATGTTCTAAACTGGGTTTCCCATTCTATCTGTTGAGAAAGACATGTCCCCTTCACACTCACTCCTTCCTCCTGTTAAATCTCTTTACATTTCAGAGTTATTTAGAATTCCAAGTTAAGCAGCTCCTCTGTAGTGTAACAGCTCTCTTTCCTCCTCCTTTCCATCACTTTGTTTCCCTCCCATACATGGGCAATAGCCACTCCCTTCCTACTCTGAACTTTGCCTCTTGACTCCACAAGGTTGTAGGACATACCCATTTTGATCTCTGGCACCTGCCATGCCTTCAAATCTGGGCAGAATGGACTCCCAAGGCAGGCAGAAGCCTGGAAAGGACTTGCCATTCCATTTGCTTCTGCTCTAGGAGGCCCAGAAAGTCCTCCAGGATCAGAAAAATCAATGACAAAAATAATCACAAAATGCTTTGCCTCAACGTCTTCCAAGCTGCTTTAAGATTAGATAATAGCGGCTGGAGAGATAGCTCAGTGGTTAAGAGCACTGCTCTTACAGAGGACCTGGATTGGATTCCCAACACCCACATGGTGGCTACAAACCATCCTTGACTCCAGGGGAATCCGACGCCCTCTTCTGATCTCCGAGGCATTGCACGACATGGGTGCACTCACATACATGCAGTCAATACATTCATACACATAAAATAATAAAAATAATAAATAAAAAAGATTAGATAATAAAGGCTGGGCATGGTGACACACGCCTTTAATCCCAGCACTCAGGAGGCAGAGGCAGGCACAAATCACTGGGCATTCAGGCCAGCCTAGTATACATAGTGAGTTCCAGGTCAGCTGGGGCTAAAAGGAGACCCTGTCTCAAAAAGACCAAAAAAGATTAGATAATAAGGGGATTCTTCTAAATACGGTCCCTCTTCTTTCTTTAAGCATCTGAGTACTATGTTGAAAACACTAGCCAAAGATAACTAGCAAGAATTACTTCCCAGGCTCCCCCAAAGCCCTCTTACCTTCTACATGAAATGCATCCCCCCTTGAAGGAGGACCCAGAACAGGAGAAAGGAAACAGGACTTTGCAGACTGGACACAGCGTCATTCAGATCTGGACTCTGCTAAAATACAGATGCACACCCCCCACCGCGTGACATAATAGGCCATTGCCATCCTTTCTACCAATTCCCACTCCCATCCAGGAAGATAAGCCACCTCTTTATACCAATCCCTCTCTTCCTTGCCTCTGGTTTCTTGAGAAAATCTAGCCCTCTGCCCCAATGCTATAAAGAATTCTTTCTACTTGGGAGGCCCAAACTCTCAATTCAATTCTACTTTTTTTTTTTTTATCTTTAAGTGCATGATATTGTGTTAATCAGTGTGCTAGGTGCTTTAGGGGACTACAAATAAGAATAAGACACAGTGCTGGGCATAGTGGCACACACCTTTAATCCCAGCACTTGGGAGGCAGAGGCAGGTGCATCTTTGTGAGTTCAAGGCCAGCCTGGTCTATGTAGTGAGTTCCAGGACAGCTGGCGATACAGGGAGACTCC